AAAAAAAATCACCCCCAAAGATTCCCCTAATTATTCAAAGACATGGGCCTGCTCTCAACAAGATTTAGATCACAAATTTACATTACTTGCATTATATTTGTACAGCCTCAAAGTTGAGAAATAACACAAAAATGACTCCTGGCAGGTAATATTTCTACAGGAAAGCAATTGAAGAATGTCTGTGTAAAGATGCATTGTCTACCCTGGCTATGCAATCCTTTCTGACACATGCTCCAACATGTCACAAGACAGAAGTATGAAAAACAATAAAGCAACCCTAACACTGAGAGCTAAAGGAGCAATCGGATTAGACATTCCAGAGCTACAGATCATAGAAATACTAGGTAGGGACATAAAAGAAGAAATCTTAAATATATGAGAAATGAACATTATGCTATTAAAAGAAAAACAAAGAAGGTTTGAAAAATAGCCAAATAGAACTTCTGGAGGTAAAATAAAACACATGACTTATTTTAAGTCCCATTGAACCATCCACCGCTTCTATCTCTGTTCTCTCTCCTCTTTTCCAGTGGTAACCTCTGTTCAGTTTCTTTCCCATATTCTGTGTGGGTTTCTGTGTGTGCGTCCATAGAAACCATTGCTTTGTATTTTTTCATATTAGTGGTATAAGTTCATATGTATTGTTCTGAAAATTTATTTCTGTCATTCAACATTAGTTCTTGGAGATCTAGCCATGTTACATATGGATTTAGCCTCTTTCTTTACTTGTATGCACCATGTAAATATGCCACTTTACTTAGACATCTTTCTCTTAATGGACCCTAGTTCTCTAATACATTTTTTTTTCTTTTTATAAACCACATAGCAATGAACACATATCTCTCGGAATAATTGTGAATGTTTCGCTAGGATAAATACCACAAAATATAATAGAATTGCTCAGTTAGAGATTATGTACATTTTTATTTTAATAGTTACTTTCAAATTGCCCTTCAAAGTATCTTGAAAGTTTGTCCCTTATCCCCACCCACATATTTGATTATAATTTTCCCTACATCTTTACCAGTCCTTGATATTATTGTACTCTTTTGTCTTTGCCAGTGAGTATGAA